GAGACTCACCGGCGCATGCGCAGCGCTGACCTCATACCTCATCAGCCCAATACAGCCCGGAACTGCTTCCGTGTACAACTGTTGGCTCAAGCTACATTAAAGTTATTATTACGTTTTGAATATGGATATTTTTCTTACAAAAACACATCGATTCGCTACAGGAGGCCTTTGTTCACCCCCCGGAGCTGTGTGAGACACTTTTTTTATGGATGGGCACTTTTTATTTAACTTCTTTTGGACTGATGCATGCAACACCCGCTGAGTGGCATTAAACAGCTTGAAAGATCAAAGACAATTTTAAATATAACTCCGACTGGATTCGTCTGAAAGAAGAAAGTCATATACACCTAGGATGACTTGAGGGTGAGTAATTTGTGGGCTAATTTTCATTTTTGGGTGAACTAACCCTTTAAATGCATGTTTGCAGCCAGTGAAAAATGCATTTCCCATATTCTGCTGAGAAAAGACGACAGTGTTTGTATCATTACAGCTCTTCTATGCATGTGTGTGTGTGTGTGTGTGTGTGTGTGTTTTCGGTTCCTTCTTGCTCTTGACACGTAATTACAAGTAACACACCAGTAAACACAGGCGCTCTGTAGACAGTCATGTGTCATTGCGTCAGGGCCTGCAGTGCTTTCTGGATTCAGATGCCACACTGTGTCATTTTAATAGCATATCAGACACATCAAAGGAAACAAGCAGGTGGAGTTGTTAAACACCATGAGTGCATGTTTAGACCATTATATTGACATTCTCAATATGGCCGTGCTGCAGATATTTAAATGGACCATCAACCAACCTCGACTGCACTCAAACAGACACATTTGCTGTATGTGCCGCGGGCTACATGCATGTTCATAGTTAGAGCCCGTCTGACTGCTGGTTGACATGCCTTTGTCATATGATTCCCTTCTGAAATATGACATCTTTTATTTAAAGCAGTGGTGTCCAATCTGTAGGGTTGAAGCTGAACTCTGCAAGGAGCTGGATTTGTCACACATGGTTTAAAGTCAACCTGAAAAACACTCTATTACTTCTATTTAATCATGATTCAGTGGGATGGACCTTGGTACACTTGTACATTTTAAAGTTAAATGCATTTTAGAGTTAAATGCATCAACCTGGTGCACTTTCAATATTAAGAGCTCCAACCCATTTTTGGTGTCCAAATTGAACAGAATAAAAAGTCTTTGCATTAACTTATACTGGACTTAAGTAAACTATTACTGTAAATATTACTGTACAGTAGGACAATTATAATACTTATGGCTTCATTTCTTCACTTGCAAGAGTTAAACGCTCAAGGTTTTATTTTGGCAGAAAACTGTGACAGACTACATACTTATTTAATTGAATCACAGCCTTTTGCAATTTGATAAGCCATTTTGAGATTTATATTTTAATTTGATTGATATATGTTATGTTAGTTTTTTATGTTATTATGAGAAGTGTAATTTGGATGTACTGTGGCTAGCAAATTAATCATAAACCCTGCCATTAATCAGTGCATGTCATTCATTCATTCACTATAGAGTTTTTAATACAAGGTAATAACTTACTCAGCCTATGAAACTTTTTTTTTTGACTGATGTTTCCCAAGCCACACATGCTATGCCACACATGCTATTAGTTAAAGTTATTAATGTTAACTAAAAGTCAAACGGCTCTTTAGTCATTGTTTAAGGGTACTATTGTAGGTCAGGCAGCCTTTCTAATCTCTAGTTGGAAATCATATTTCACTTCAAAATTCGACACATAGCGTTACTAAAATGGCTTTGCATGATGACTTTAAAAGACATTGAAATATTTGAAAGATATAAGATGGACTGTGTGCACCGAACTCTGAAGGCTCTCTACATAATAGTATTGACACAGTGTTTGTGGTTAAAATCAATCCTTGTCCGTAAAAGTCAATACTTTTCACCATCACTCTTAACAGGTTTCACCCACAATGGATTCCAAGTATCAATATGTGGTTTATGTGGATATGCGTTTGCCCTCCGCTGTACGAGCACCTGTCTTTCTCTCTTTCTCACCTTAGATGAGTTTAAGTCGTTTCTGAAACGTCTGCCCGCGACACACTTTCTGCCGGTGAGCAGCGTGCACCTGCTGTGGGGCAGCGACTGGGACCTTCAGAACCGCTATCGGCTCTTGCAGAGTTCACTGGAGGCCCAGAGACTGAAGATCCAGCGCACGGCCCGGAAACTCTTCGGTCTGAGCATTCGCTGCCACCACAACCCCAACCACCAGATGCCCAGAGAGAGGTGAGACCTAAAGTTCATTTGCAGAATAATACAGCAGGAAAATAGGATCGTATTCCAAGAACTGACCTCAATAGATCTCAACAGAACACTCTTAAAAATGTATGTTCCAAAATGGGAAATGAGAAAAATGAGGTTCCCGAAAGAACTTTTCAGTGAACAGTTCTTAAAATTACCTTTTTTTTTTAGTGTGAAGAACATTTTAAAAATCTGACAAACAAAATAAAGAAACTTTTTGTGGACTCAAAAGATTCCATGGATGTTAAAGGTTCAACATGGAACCATCAATGCCAATAAAGACGATTTATTTTTAAGAGTTATCTGTTCACTGTCAGCACCTTTGGTTCTGGAAGTATTTTCCTAATCATAAACAACCCAATAGCTGGGTTTGTCCCTTTTTAACCCAGCATTTTTTAGAGTGTAGGGAATTGAAAAGATTCATTAAATAAACAAACTCTTAGCTGAAACATATCTGAGACGTATTCTTAAAAGAACCATTGTTTTCTTACCTTTAAAAAATAAAAAAATTGAATCTATCTTACCAGAAAACACCACTGCTGTATTATTATTATTATTATTATTTGACTGTACACTACAGCCCTAACATTATGAAGATATCTAGCTAATGAGCTAACATTATTTAATAGAGATTCTCAAAATGTTTATTTCAGTGATTTACAAAACCTCAACATTAGATTACTTACCAAAAGAACATGTAAGTTCTGGCAAAATACTTTTTTTTTTTTTGCTTCAATCTATTTAAAAATACAATATACAAACAGAAGAATGACCGAAGAGCGCTATCTTTTAACAATTGATTGTGTAGATCTAGTAAGTAGCTAAGCCTCCGCTGGTCTGTGAAAACATATAACCCATTTCGCATGTGAGTGATTTCTCTAAATGTCCAATGTTTCTTCAGGACTGCATGTAGTGGAGTACTTCACTGGGAATTTGACTATTAAACAGTTTTATTAAAATGATAAATAATTCTGAAATGTCCAGAAAAAAAAATCTAATAAATTACTGGTAATTTTCTGCCAGGACATTGTTTTTTTTTCTTCTTCTTCTTTCAGTGTTCTGTGCAGCTAAATTTTGTTTCATAATTGATTAATTTTACAACAACAGCACTCCTATTTTCCATTTTATTAAGTCAATAGAAATAAGTGATTATTTGTATAGCGCTTTATACAATATTGATTGTTTCACAGCAGCTTTACATTAATAGTCAAAAGTCATGAGATGAGCCTTTGATAAATAAAAGAAGAATCTTTCTGACTGGACCGAAATTAAAGAGTGCAGTGGTCAATTAAAAAGTGCCAAAAGCACAGCCTGAAACATATAGACAAATAAAGTTATCTGTCCACTAGGAAACTTGACTTATCAAACAGAGAATAATAAGCACACTCAGGAAATGTTCACTAATGTGGAAGTGGCTCACCCACGCTCCAGTGGCGGCTTTGACAAGGTCTGTGCTGAAGCGTTATCAAAGCCGAGCAGAGCAGAGTCAGAGCTCTGTGGGGCTCACATCAAGGACGTTTAATGGCAATAGCACAGAGGGAGAGAGAGAGAGAGAGAGGAATACAGAACGGAACTGACTATTTTAATTCCAGGTAAGCGCGGGAATGTTATCGGTTCAGCGTTGTGAAAAGTTGCCTGTGATTTTCAGGGCTAATTCGCTAAACACTGGACTTCAAAGTAGAGTGTTGTTCTGCTGAGGGTGAGAGAGTCTGTTTCTGTTTATGTGCAACATACTAGATTCATACTTCAAAGTCAGAGCAGCTAGTTTAGCTAACTGATAACAAAATTAGCATCCCATTTGAATAAACTAAGCAGCAGGGGTAACGATTCGCCATGGTAAACGATCTCTGGGGGAAAGCATAGAGTTCGAACACAGTCCCCATGGTTAAACACCTCATCTTCAGTTAACACTTCGGATAGAAACATACTTGTGCAATTCAACTGAACATGCTTAATGCATGCATCACTATGGTAGTATCAAATATCAGTGCTCAAGTATTATTAAGGCCCTAATAATAATTGGTTTAACTGGTGTCTGTCTTCATTTCAGCAAAAATTTGATCATTTTAAAGGGGGGGTGATTATTTTCTAAACTCACTGTACATATATATTGATTTACTTTTTTTTTTTCTGGATTCCATTATTATTATTATTATTATTATTATTTCTGGATTCTGTTTTAATGGTTGCATTAGATTTTAGTAATCAAAAAGCATGTATGTTAATTGAAATCATGAAACCTATACAATATACAGTTTACTGTATATACAGGACTGAAATGCTCCAGGAAAGCTCTTTTCAAACTGTGCTGATCAAAATGACCACAGCTGATCACAGTTGAAAGTCAATGGCTTTGTGTGCCAGTGAGAAGCTACACCTGATTGAGTTTACTGTACAAGTCATTTTTAGGAGGGGGGTGATACTTTTTCCAACACAGTGATTCTGTTTTTTATTTATTTATTTATTTATGTTGGCGTTATATCTTTCACTTACATGTTACAAGTTGCACTGAGTAAATACAGCTGGATAAAACAAAAATTGTGAACTGTGTTGGACACTGAAAAAAAAAACTGTGTCCGTCTTCATTTCAGGTTGCAAAGCAACAACATGTAATTATTTTAAAGGGTGGTGATTCTTTCTATACCCACTGTTTGTTTATGTATTTATTTTTATTTATTTTATTTTTTTTAACTGTCAAATTAAATAACATAAATTAGTTTCTGAATAGTGTTTCATGTTGAAGCTCCTATTCTGTCCAAATAATGCAAACTTTTCTAGTAGTGATCATTACAAACTTTCAGCTGCAAGTAAATTGCATCTTGTTAAGCATGTCAAAAGTCTGCATCTGTAACTGTAGGCTGAAAACTTGTTGGGAAGGTTGTTTCTGTTATTGCTGCCAACCGTCGGCTTTCTGAAAGACACGTCATTATATTCCACACAACTGTATGACAAGCCAAGAAACATATGCATTCAAAATATGAAACCTGTGACGGGTTCTGAAGATAGACAATATCGATGCACTACATATATCAAGAATTAGAGGCATTTGAATGTATTATACAGATATAAACCGAAAAAATTTCTTACAATAACCATAATGAACAGTTCTTCCATCAAGGAAGATCATTAGCATAGCTTGCCGTCATGATATAGTGACGTGACATGTGGCCAAGTATGGTGACCCATACTTGGAATTAGTGCTCTGCATTTAACCCATCCAAAGTGCACACACACAGCAGTGAACACACACACTGTGAACACACACCCGGAGCAGTGGGCAGCCATTTATGCTGCAGCGCCCGGGGAGCAGTTGGGGGTTCGGTGCCTTGCTCAAGGGCCCCCCAGTCGTGGTATTGAAGGTGGGAGAGAGCGCTGTACATTCACTCCCCCCACCTACAATCCCTGCCGGTATGAGACTCGAACCCGCAACCTTTGGGTTACGAGTCCGATCCTCTAACCATTAGGCCATGACTTCCCCCATATATACAGTATATAGAATTCATCTGATGAATGCTACTCATCCAATCAGATTTTAGAGCTGAAAGTGTTTGTTTTATAAGTGTCTGAGCTCAGATCAGCCCTAAATAATGGCAAGGTTGTTGTGTTAGCTGTGCTGTCACTTAGGAGGTCTGTTCTGTCTCCACTGACCTGCTCTTTGGCCCGAAGGCCCTGATGAAGAAAGATGGCTACTCGCTTGAGGAAGAGTTTCCTGCTGACACCAAGCGGCTTCCCGTTGCTCATTATTAGCAGCAAACTGCCTCCATCCGCCCCATAGACTCCAGAGATAGAAGTTAACTAACTCCATTCTGCAGACACGCTGCTTCCAGTTTGATGGCACCCCAATTATCTAGAGGAAGAAAACTTAATCTGGCTCCAAACTTTGGTTACTTGTGATTACTGCCAAGTTTCCCTCGGAAGCTCCTACTTTTAGGAGTTTGGAAGTCATAATTGTGAGACTTCATGTGCATTTAAGTGACCAGTTTCTCTCTTTTTTTGTCTTCTTTTTTGTCAAACGCAAGCTTTTTTTTTGTGATGCTGCATAAAAATGAAGAGCAGATGATGTTTGCTTTGTTTAAAATTGATCTGGTTATATCATTCTCATGCAACCTAAAAGAAAGATCATGCAAGCTTGTCACCTCAAAATTCAGAGTACCTGGTATTTTCTGGTCAGCTCTGTCACTTTTTATTGTTTATCAACAATACAGAAAAAGAAATAACTGAACACATTAAATTGCACATGCTTTTTTGTAACTCTTGCATAGACAAAACACAAAAAGGGCTAAAATAAAATGCACATTTTGCCACAGGTGAAATGGTTTGAGAGCAGTAAGTAGATTACGCTGCTGTTTCTATATTAAGGGCAAATCCATATATATACCATGAGAGTGAGATATTCCCTCTCGTCCGTTCTTGATGCAATAGTGCCGACGCACAAGGTCTGTCCGTAGACCCGGGCGGAGGATCCAGAGCTCAGCTTTAACCTCGACTTTGCTCAATTATTGGCCTTTTGCAAATTGTGCAGTTTCTACTTTTAGGGAAGCGTCTCAAAGTCAGCTGCTGTTTATTCCTGGCTGAGAAAAAAGCTGATGCAAGTTTTACATGAATATTTTGCCTTTATTTTTTCTTCTCCCTGAGTAGAGTCCAAAATCAAGTAACCTTAAAAATGTCCTGCTGGCTAAAATTCCTAATAAGAGATCTTTTAGTTTCCACACTTGGTTTGATTGCTTGTTCAGTATCCAGCCTCCTTGTGCTCCCATACGCCTCTTTCCATACAGTTTGAAACAGTGTGTTTGCGTTATCAATGACAGTACTAGCATCAGCTATTTACCACTGTAATAACTCTGAAAGGATGACGCCTCTTTCACTCTGTTATTAAACTATTTGTCCATTTGGGTTTACCACCAAATCTTTAAACTCACAGAACAGCACTCGTCTTTTTGGATGCATCATGAGGCAAAAACAATGTTAGCTTTGCTTCGAAGGCAATTTTGGCTATTTCGAGCCAAGCAGCTATGAGAGATATACTACTGTATAAAAGTGTCATCAGGAGCATTAAAATGTGCAAATTTCATACATTACATGTTAATCATGGCGACTTGCTTTCATACCAACTGCAGACCTTATTAGAGTTCACATGAACCAGCGTGTGACGTTTACTTTTTCCCAAGCAGCGCATGTGCTTTTAATTTGAAAAATATAAGAGAGCACAAAATAACTTTAGGGGTGCATTGAAAACTGATCGAATAATTAGTTTTCCTTAATAAAGGGACATGTGATTATATTTACAAGTGACATGATTTAATTTATTATTGTAAGGACCAATTCTCACTATTAACTAGCATGCATATTACTAGCATATTGGCTGTTTATTAGTACTTCTAAAGCACATATTAATGCCTTATTCTGCACTACTACTTACTACTTACTGTCTATGCTTTACTTCCAGCTGCTCAATCAAACAGATTAGGGAGATAAAATATGCACTCTTGCAACCATCTAAAACATATTACAATATCAACAACTTAAAGTTAGGGTAGGTGATTTCAGAGAGGCTAGCAATAGCAAGCTAGCTTTGAAAGCATAAGATCCCACCCTCCCTGCAAATCACTCTCCAAAGCCACGCCTCCAAAACACATGACCACGCCCTGTGAACCCCAAATTACACACAAATTGCATTAATACAAATTAGACGAACTGAGCTTTGATGGCAAACAGACTCCAAAGACACCAAATGCTCTTGTGTGAAACATAAGCATGAATCACATATGTATGCAGATGTAAACATCTTTTTGATGCTGATAAATTGCTCTGACCAGAGCAAAAGCACAGCCGCCGCTGCCTTGACATATAGAGCCACGCCTCAGGGATTTCTCTGCCATTTGATTACTGGATGCATCGCAAAAGCCAGTGTGATATTCAATCAAATCAAACATTGCAATTAAATGAATAACCAAACCATGCTGGCCATTTCTGTTTATGCAAAGCCCCAAAATTACGCTTACTGGCTGCTTGTAATTAATAGATGTTTGTTGTTTGCTCTGAGCTCTACCTGATAAACCGTAGCTGTGATGATGTGCATTCGGAGGACAGAAAACGACCCTGATTTACACCCACACAGACAGCACAGTTACTTATGTGCTTTTAACATTTGTGTTTGTACATATGCTTTGTATAAATTGAAATATTGTACGTGTCAAGCTGTGAAAGAGAGAGTCTTACCCTAACTGGTGTTATGTGCATATTTTTAATGCATTTTTTTTGTCATCTTAGTGGCCATTTTCTGCAGAAACAAACAATGTTGTAGAAATAACCAGACTTTAACATTTTCTAAAGATGTTTGCTATATATGCAAAACTAACCACTACAATATTAGGGAGTTGTGGTAGATTGCCAAGATGTCCATTTGGTTGAGATTGGTACCAGTGTTATTTTAGTATCATTAAGATACCGTATTACTGTATTATTTAGTTTGCATTTTAATTTTAGTTAAAAAAATAAAAATGATAAATGTTGCTGAATCAAATGTGGCAACTAGCTGAAATAATATTTATATACATTTTTATAAAAAATTATAAAATATTGTTTTATTGTTATGTTAAATGTTCATCATATTTATTCATGTTTATCATTATCTATTATAATAAATGTGCATATTTATGTATGCATTTTGGTCCCACTTTATATTAAGTGGCCTTAACTACTATGTACTTACATCAAAAATTAAGTACAATGTACTTATTGTATTCATATTGTATTGCAAAACACTTTTGCTGCTATTGAGGTGGGATACGGGTAAAGTTAGGGACAGGTTTGGTGGTATGGGTAGGTTTAAGGGTGGGTTAAGGTGTAAGGGATGGGTCAACAGCATAATTATAAATGTAATTACAGAAATTAATTACAGATGTAATTACATGCAGGTATTTTTAAAATATAAGTACAATGTAAAAACATGGATGTACACAATAAGTGCATTGTACCAAATTATTAATTTAAATGTAAGTACATAGTTGTTAAGGCAACTTAATATAAAGTGGGTCCGTATTTTGTTGTCTTGGGCATTTTAAAGCAGCTGTTTTCTGCAGAAACATAAACATATTAATCTTATTTTAGTACATCAAGTTGCAAGGTTGCTGTGGCAACTAGCTGAAATACGTTTAATATGCTTTCTTGTAATAAAGTTTATCATATTTATTACAGTCTATCATCATTTATTATAATGTTTTGTATGGCTTTTGTTAACTATAATAACCCTGCTTGGTACAGAGGCGCCTCCAAGTTCTCCAACTAACATGTGCAGACCGCGGTCAAATGCTTTTCTCTCTCTCTCTCTCTCTCTCTCTC